ATATCAGTTTGTCTTAAATTCTATTGGTAATTTCATTTCATTGGGTATCCATTTTTTAATATCCTGAAGAACTGTTCCTTTTCTATACAATGTTGACTGGATTTATTTTCTAACGAGCACAAACTGCTGTGGGGCATGCACATAGAGAAAAAAATTAAAAATTGCATCCAGATTGTAGCCAGACGTGTGGCTGCAGCTTTCCTGTTTGCATGGACGAACGTTTCCTTCTGCCTTTTCATCTCTGTAAACGTCCACATTTTTCTGTAGTGTACCTGCCCTTTCTGTAAATATCATCCTATGTGTGCTTAGAGGCATTTCTGCATTCTTTAGCTTGTCGCTGTCACTCCTTAAAATTTACAGTTGGTGCCCAACTTTTGAGGTTTTCTTTACTTGTCAATATATTCTCCCTGATGAAGGGCTGATGTAACACAAAACAGTATTGATTGTGCAACGCTGCTGACTGGAATTTTGACTACAGTAGAAAGTACAGTGGTACCTCGGTTTACGAACTTAATGCTTCCACGATTCTGGTCGTGAACCAAATCAAACTGTGATCAGACCGCAATCTCGACTAGAGGAAGCCACAACCAGTGTCGAGCAGTGAAGATGGCTGCGATTTTGTGTTAGTCACCCGATGCGGAGTTCACGAACAGAAGCAAATTTTTGCCGAACTCTATGTTCGCGAACAAAAGCGTTCCTGAACCGAGGTACCACTGTACAACCTTGGACTTGTGCAATATTTCAAGCCTGACATAGCTGGGCCACTAGCCTTTTCAGATGTTTAGCAATTTCAGCCTATATAGTGCCTTACCTGACGAAGGACATTAAGTCCGAAGTGGTTGTATTGGCATGCGGTTTATGGAGTTATAAGAATGAAGGAAGCATGAGGTGCTGCAGACAAAACAAGCCTATAGAACTATGCAGCATGTAACGTAAGACCATATGATCTGCATAAATTTAAAGCTTCTGGATAAGAATGACAGCCAACATTTTTGGTAGGAGAGGTCTGCAGTGGAAGTCTCTATTTCATCCAGTACTGGAACTTTATTAGCAGCTAGAATATGAAATGAATTTCCTGAAGAAACACCGTGATTTGCTCGGCCTCAAATAGTGAGAGCACTAAAGTCATTCTTTCCTATACCTTGCTATCACTAACACGTCCTTCAAAGTGACAGCTGGGATCTGGCAGCTGTGGGGAAATGACAGTTACCATCTTACTATATGCTTCTTCTCTTTGATTTATCAGTGAGAGTGCTGTCAGACAATCTGTTCAGGTTAATAGTCGGGTCGGTGAGTGTGCATGTTCTATACAGTAGGAATAAGACCATAGCAGGAGATGTGATCCTCGGGAAACATTAGCGAGTGTCCTGGCAGTGATTTGGTGAACTTGCATGTTTCTGCTGCCACGCACACGTCCAGATTTCTGTACAACGTTTTCATTTTGTCTGCAGTGGTCTAAGCTTAAGTGGTTAACTTTCTATATTTAAACTTGTGGGTATAAGCTTGTGGTTGGTGTAGGGCAAAATAAGCATGCTGTTCTGTCTCCAAAAAAGAGAAATGCAAGGCACTCTTCTAATTATGTCTATCGAAATACTCTCTCATTAAAGGGATCTTCAGAACAGCTTATATAACATTGTGCCAAAATCAAGTGACTAGGTGACATCTCATTTACTCCTTTGCCACATCATCTGTTTTTTCTTTCTAATATTTCTTGGCAGCAAGCATAAAGCAGCAGCAGAGAACTCTTCTCTATTGCGGAGAATGGCCGTTTCTTGTGGAATCCGACATCCAGTCTTGTTCCTCAGCACGTTGGCTGAGCCTGGCGTGTTGTCAGCCCCTGGAATGTTTGTCACAAGGTTCAAGTTGTGGTCTTACTGGTGGGAGTTTTATTGCCTTGGACTATGATAGACCCAATATATTGGCTACATGTTTACATCTTTCCATGCTCCATTGTTTTTTTTATTATTTAAACCAAGTAGAGAACAACCAGAATTTTGTGGTCAAGTTCTCCAAAGACCAAATACACTGTTCCTATCTCATAGTTATACTTTATTTTTTTCTGAAGAGGATGTTTTTATAGTCTAAAGAAAAGTGTTAGTTGCATTTTGCATAGAGTGGGAACGGTTAAAACCCATGGGAGGTTTGTTTTTCTCTGGTACAACCCATGTGTACTGAATCATGTTCATGTGGTAGCTGTTTGGGTTATGTTGCGGCTTTGCATGCGTGTTTTAAAAAAAAAAATGAAATGAAATAAATTTGGCAGGCTAAGGAACATGAGAGGGGCAACTAGCATTTCTACATAATGTGGTGCAGCAAAGGCAGCCTCCATGTCTGAATATCATGGTGGTCCAGAGGATTAGGACTTGTGCTTCATATCTGTGTCTCAAAGTATTAGAATCCAGCAGATGAGCTCCATTTTTTAGTGGAGGTCTACAACAGCAGTCTCCATATTCCTCTTCTGACACTTTAAATTAACGATGAGTTATTAAATTCTTAAATGTAAGTGTCAGAACTTGGCATAAGCTATCTGGAGTGGACCGTTCAAGACATAAAGAATAGCCACGTATAATGACATTAAAAACGCAATACTAGAGCTTGGTAATGGTTTGTAGTGCAAGTGCTGCTGTTGGCTTTCTCTGTAACCGAGCAGGTGCCCAGTTTTTAACTGTATATACTTCTACTTCCACTGTTTCTGCTTTGTATAGGAGAGACCAAGCTATTTACTAAACGTGCTTCTGGTACGCTGCATTGGCACATTCAAGATGAGTTGGCACTTGTGTCTGGAAGTGCCGTTATGCAACTATAGAACCGTGTATGCCGACACACACACACACACACACACACACACACACCAACCTTACATAAGTAACAATTAGTGTGGTAATTATATAGTGTGCACATTCATTTATATTGTGACAGGTTTGTCTTTCGTAAATGAATGGTTCCTAACTGTTGGCTTGGTGTCTTGAATTCACGAACATAAACTGATTTTAAATCTGTGTTCCAATTGGTCATAACTACTAAAAGTAGTCGTCTTTCCTCCAGATATGGTAGATTAATTTTTTCCTCATGTTCTGGTCATGGCGTAGTGGTGATGTGGATTGCACGTAGCCACCTACACTGCAAGTTCTGGTCATTAGGTGTTCAATATCTGAGGAGTTGATGATCATATGTGAGGTGTCTGCTTAGATCTATGTGTAATACATGGCAGGTAATACAAAATTTTGGTTGCTTTAGATTTCTCCTTTTGTAAAATGGCGCTTTAATATAAGTGATGTCTTTATGACCCCTTTACTAAGATCTGCGCCATTTTACTAAGAGGAGACATAGACCATGCACATCAGAAGACTTTGGCAGTGATTTATCTTCTGTCTAATGTCACCTACAGATTGGGCTTATAAAGAATGATCACTGTATCTGAATGTCCATTTCCAGGCAAAGATGAGTGTAAACTGGTCCTCTTTAATAAGGCAACACATATTGCTTGCACTTATGCATTGATATCCCAGTGAACATGAGTCCTTGTTCATGAAATATGCTATGCTAGAATCTGACTCTGCAGTACAATCTCTGACTGTGATGAAATCCTCTGGGATTCTCCACAGGCAGGATGCCAAATTTTCTATAAACTGGGTCTTATATTAGAGCCTAGTTTGACCAATACATTGAGCGCTCACCGGCAGGAGTTTGTCTTCATTAAAACTCAAGAACACAACACACACTCTTTCAGTTGCTCTGCTGGAAAGGAGCCAGTGGAGTCTACAACAGCTGTACCACAAACATTTAGCCCTTAATGGATGGGGGAACTTTTTAGAGCGTTTTAAGACGTTCACAGCTCTTGGAAGCTGAAGAAGGTTTCGTGTCCTTTTTAGATCTACCCTTTAGAGTTTTAAAGGCAAGAAACAAGTCTATAAAATGATTTAACGGACTACCGTTCTGAGCATTTTAAACAATGCTTCCCTATAAGAATTTTTATTCTATATTTTATAGCAAAACACTAAGGATGAACTGTAATAAAGCCTTTTATAATTGGTCGTCTTTTTGTTGAATGGCTAGGTTTAATTTGCAAAAACTCAGCATTGTAGTAAGTGGGAAGACTTGGGTATGATAGTATTTGGTGCAGTTTAGTATGTATTGGCTTATGTTTCTGTGACAGTTGGTTCCCACTTGGCCACCTAATGTTCTGGCTTTAAGCTAAAAGGTATTTAGTTTCGGGTCTTGGTAAATCCAAATTAGTTAAGCTTGCAGGATGTTGGATGGAATTCCAGCGGTAGAGTTTATTGCTTAGCTCCAGGAGAGATGGAGGCAGCCAGGGTCTACCCAGTATATACTTTTTTTTTTTTTGTACTTTGCCATCAACAGTATATCATTTAACATTCTGCAAGTGTGAGATAGGAGTTGCTGTGCAGCATGATGAAAAATGTAATCTAGTCCCTCGACTAATTTTGTATGATTCATCCTCCAGTGCGCCTATCTGATTACGCAGCACTATCACTTTAAAAGCAAAAAAAATTCAAAAAATCATTTCATCTTTTAGTATTTGAGCACAAGTCTGAATTTTTTCCCCCCTTTCCTTGCTCCCCCCCTTTGTCAGCTGTCCCTTTAAGCATTCTCTGATGGATTCCATACATTCTTGCTGAAGTGTATAATATTTTAGACATTTGTGGTCTAGATTACTTTTAGATTTTTTTAAAAACCTAAGTTATTAGGGGTCTGCCATATAGTTTCATATATTGTTGGGACTTATGTCTGACATGTGCATGACATGGCTTTCCATGTTTGTGTTAAGCCGCACATTAAACAGTCTTAATACTGTAATCAATAGCAAAGTAGTTGTTGGCATGTGAATGATTCACACTTAAACATTGCTGCTTTCTTTTCCGGTATAAAGGAAAAACTGTAAACATATTGTAAGTACATATAAGCACTCTGGTTAAAATATGTCTGGAACTGAACTTTTGTCCTTCTTTTTTTTTTTTTTCTTTTTTTTTTTCTTCAAGGTGCAGCAGCTGTTTTATGAAAATTATGAGCAAAATAAGAAGGGGTATATTCGAGACCTCCACAACAGCAAGATCCACAAAGCAATCACTCTACACCCCAATAAGAACCCACCTTACCAGTATCGACTGCACAGTTACATGCTGAGCCGCAAAATAGCAGAACTCCGCTATCGCACAATCCAGCTTCACCGGGAAATCGTTTTGATGAGCAAATACAGCAACACTGAAGTCCACAAACATGATCTGCAGCTTGGGATAGCACCATCTTTCATGAGGTACCAGCCACGCCAGCGGGAGGAGATTTTGGAATGGGAGTTTCTCACGGGCAAGTATTTGTTTTCAGCAGCTGATGGACAACCCCCAAGACGAGGAATGGATGCTTCACAAAAAGAAGCGCTAGATGATATAGTGATGCAGGTCATGGAAATGATAAATGCAAATGCCAAAACTAGAGGCCGTGTTATTGACTTTAAAGAGATCCAATATGGTTACCGCAGACTAAACCCTCTATATGGAGCGGAATATGTTCTAGATTTGCTCCTGCTATACAAAAAGCACAAGGGCAAAAAAATGACTGTACCTGTGAGGAGACATGCCTACCTCCAACAAACGTTCAGTAAGATTCAGTTCATGGAACATGAAGAGATTGATCCTAAAGAGCTGGCGAATAGAATAAACAAAGATTCTGGCTCCTTGTCTTTCCTTTCCAATTCCCTTAAGATGTTTGTCCCATTTCAACTCTCCTCTTCAAAGACTGAACACAAGGAGCTCAAGGAAAAGAGGGTCAACATTCTGGTTCCATTATTTGGGCGCTTTGAAATGTTCAGTAGGTTCATGGCCAACTTTGAAAAGACTTGCCTCCTTACCAACCAAAATGTGAAGCTTGTCATTTTGCTGTTCAATTCAGACAACAACCCGGACAAGGAGAAACAAGTCGACCTCATGAGAGATTATCGCGTTAAGTATCCAAAGTCAGAAATGCAAGTATTGCCTGTTACTGGGGAGTTCTCCAGAGCACTGGCCCTGGAAGTTGGGTCTTCTCAGTTTAGCAATGATTCTTTGCTATTCTTTTGCGATGTGGATTTGGTGTTCACCACTGAGTTTCTTCAACGCTGTAGGGCCAACACTGTCTTAGGACAACAAATATACTTTCCAATTATATTCAGCCAATATGATCCCAAGATTGTCTATGCTGGGAAGGTTCCCAGTGACAATCATTATGCTTTTACACAAAAAACAGGACTCTGGAGGAACTATGGCTTTGGAATTACTTGTGTTCATAAAGGAGACCTCCTTCATGCTGGAGGATTTGATGTTTCTATACAGGGATGGGGACTGGAGGATGTGGACCTTTTTAATAAAGTAGTACAAACAGGAATAAAGACTTTTAGAAGTCAGGAGGTTGGTGTGGTCCATGTACACCATCCGGTGTTTTGTGACCCTTATCTTGATCCTAAGCAATACAAAATGTGTTTGGGATCCAAAGCATCAACGTATGGTTCCACCCAGAGACTGGCAGAACTATGGCTTGAAAAAAATGACCCAGCCTTTGGCAAAACCACTCACAACAATGATTCTGTGAGGACAGCCTGATAAGCCAGCACAGCTGGCCCACAATGAACTTTTTCATAGCCATCTAATTTATTTTTGTTTTCCAATCGCCCTCTTCTTTTTTTTTTTTTCTTTTTTTTTTTTAATAGCTAAGAAAACAATAGGTTTAGTTTTTGTTTTTTTTTGTTTGCTTTTTCTTTTCTTATGAAGCGCTCTGCTCCCAAATGAGCTTCTTGGACAAAAACAAATGTGATCAGTATTTGCCTTTCAACCATTGCAATACAACTTGAAGCTTTTTTTATGTACAAATCCCTGTTTGTCACATTCCATTATGTCCTTTGTTCTGTCCTGTCCTTATGAGGTGTGGTCATTGGAACCTGGGATATCCGCTGTTTGTTTGCCCCCTAATTCTAATCCATCATGTTTGTGTTTATGAGCCAATAAGGTTAGTTCCAAACCATTCATATATATGACCGTATAGAAGAAGTCTTGATGTTTTAAAACAAGGCATTCCTGGTTTTAAAGCTAGTATTTGAGGTTGAATTGTGTTGTTGCCGTCATGGTATGGCCCTCGGTCCTTTTCGTTATGTCATGTTAATATTTTACCCATGAGGTTTTTTTTCCTAAGTAGATTGTCAGATGTATGTAACATATTGTCCCTTGGGTTCATCTTCTTGAATATGCCTCTCTAAATTGGGGAAAAGGCTCTTCTGAATGTACCATTTCTTTTGTAAATCTTTTAATTCTACCAATTGCTGCTCACTTAGTATTTATTCAAAAGCCATAGGGCTTTATTTAATGACGCAGGAGGAAGTGCTATGCTGTGCGGTAACTAGAAACAAGCATCCATATTGGCTTCCATCTATTTAATGTAGCCAAACTAATGGAAGATGTCCAGTGGTTCCCCCTGGTTATTGCACACTGCTCTTTGTATTTATTAAATGAAGTCCGTAGTGTTTTTATACACAAACATTACACACTCTATTTTTCGAGGTAACACTTGAGTTACGTTGGTGTGCCAGTGTTAATGCCACTTTCGAGGATGGCCTTGGTACACTGCAGGATCTGAATGTTTACCAGCTCACACGAATGGTCTGTGCAGAATCCTCTTGCCATTACACCCCATAATGTGTCCTTATTGTTGATACTGGAATCCCGCCACTACAGCAGCTTTTTGACCTGTACATTTTAATGACCAAATACTTGCACATTCCCAGTGAATCGTATCTCTGTGTTGGTTTTACAAATCATTTTTACAATGTGCCTTACCTCTTTTTATATAGATGCACTCCATGTCTCCCTCTCTGCTCATTTCTGTACTGTGCTATCCGTTCCTCTAATGAACAATTGATAAGGTATTGGTTACCAACGCGGGGAATGTATCCTGTGAAGCGTGTGACTTGTAACTTCATCAAAGTGTTATATCTTTAAGGTTTGTTTTTTTTTTTCTAGCTTTCTATTGGATTTCTTTCGGTGCCTTAAAATATTCCTGTCTCCCTGCAACAGGGGGACAGTTCAGTGGATATAGGCACTGAAGTCTGTACCAAATACATCTTACAAGCTCGGGGTCTTCAGGTCTCAACCCTCTCCTGTACTGTCTGCTTTTCTTCTTTCTGGTGGCACAATAGTGCTCAATGATCAATGTTTTTTAAATTATGTTTTTATTTTACCGTTCAGTCCCTTTCCCATGTCACGGTTTTTTGATTATGCAAAATGTTTAATAAAATGTTCAATGAAAAAGTCATTTGATTCATGAGCTTTATTTCTTATTGGAGCATTTCATTACACATAATTAGTTACTCATTCATTTTATTTAGTAAAATGGTTCTTCAAATTTGTGTAAAAGGTAAGTGCAAGTTATTCACCTGAAAAATTAAAATTAGCACGGGCACATGCAAATCTGACTAATTGTGATAAAGAAGAGGGCCACATAATCTAGAGGTTTAGGTTTTTATTTTAATATATGCATTAGTGTATGGTATTCTCCCCATTATATATCTGGATTTAAAGTGTATTTCTAGGCAAAACTTTAAAGTTTTGGGGGAAAGGTTACACCCTCTGTCACAATTCTGTCTGTGTCCCTATGGGGTGGGACAGGGGTGGGGGGGATTCTCCCCTCTAATTGTACTGGTGACCATAGTCGCTGAGAAAGTGAGGGGAAATCCAAAATTTTAGCTATCTCCCTAGAACAAGAGGTAAGGGTATTTTTCCATTGTGTGAATATGCATTGACTATGATTTATGTGATGTAACATTTCCTATAGGAACATTTGTCTAAGAGGAATTCCCCTTACTTTGGAAGATTTCTTCTCGCTTGTTGCACCTCCTGAGACGTAAAGTGAAGGGAAACATCCCCAGTAGTACACAGACCGCAATAAAGTAACCTTGCAGAGGGTTTTAACGCTTCCCTACTCTATCCAAAAACTAAAGTGTTTGTTTATACAAAAAAAGCTGTCCTTGTGTCTAGGGCTGCAACAACTAATCGACATAATCGATTATAATCGATTATATGAAGTCCCATCACTGGAGCCATTTTTTTAAATTGTATTTTTTAGCCGATTAATCGAACGTAATAATCGGCTAACCGATTTTGAAAATAATCGTTAGCTGCAGCTCTACTTGTGTCTTGCTTCTCTATGCTGTAGAGATTTGCTGCAGCCAGGGCCAAGTCCACCCTGAACACTTGACTTACATGGTGAAGTTATCAGAATTCGGGCTTTTAGCAGTTAAAGGAGAACTATGAGGTGAGTGCTTTTCACTCACCTCATAGTTCTAGCCGACCTGTGACAATGAGACTGTCACAGGTCGGTTCACTCGAAGTGAGCCAACACATACCGGCGTTCGCTCACCTCTCGATCCTTTCACTGCCCTCTGCCGTGACGGGGGAGGGGCTGGATTCCCCCTGCTCCGATCCGCCAGCGCTGACTGGCGGAACGGTCGGGGGAGGGGGCGGGTACAGCTGGCTCTGCCTCTAGATAGCCAGAGCCAGCTGTCACTCCGCAGCTGGGCGGATCCCAGCATAATTGTCAGGATCCACTGCAACGTCTCAGTATACCGCGAGCAGCAGCTCGCTGTATACTGAGCCTAGGGTGACGGGAGGACGCTAGTTTGTGTCCTCCCGTTACTCTAAGGAGAACGATGGGGAAAGCCTTAACCCCATAGTTCTCCTTTTAACACTTAAGGCCTTGTTCACACCAAGCGCGTTCCAGGAGCAGAGCAGTTACAGACCGGATCAAAACTGCGTCCAATGTATTCCAATTGTATTTTGAGATCTAGTTCACACCGCAGGTTCAGTTCCAGAGCATGTAAAAAAACTGCAGCAAGCCCTATTTTACCTGCTCTGGAACCCATGCAAACACACTAAAAAAGCATGCAAACGCCCTGAAACCAACTAAAAGCCCATTCTAAACTTTAAAAAAACGGCCCAGAACGCGGCACAACCCACTGCACTGCGTGTGCAGAAACTCATGCAGATCTGGTCTGCATTTGGTGTGAACGAGCCCTAAAAGACTTCTGGTCATTGCACCAGAACGAGTTATTGCAACATACAGAAAGCGTCCATCCTATACAGTTTATGCAGGAGCCAGCATATAGTTCTATATCTTTAGTCAATGTCTCCCTGCTCACTTCTGACGAACGGAGAAAAGAACAGCTATAGAGAGGGCAGGTCTCATGAGATGGACAAGTACAAATCTAGGGCAATATATGTACATACATTGTCCTGAACATCAAATATTGTTGGCCAGGGGTTGGGGCTCGGTTGGCAGGTTAAAGAACTATGCTATAAGAATCTCTGAGCAAATTTTGTATATCAAATGTTAAATATAACCCAACAATAGAACCATTTTGCAACAGAATATTAGATAGTTATACATCCAACGGCAACACCTGTGTGTTAGAATTGCCTCAGCTGTCCTTATGCTTACCCCTTTTGCTGCTGGGCCCTGCCCTTCATTTTTCACCTTAAGTGGCTGGACGAGTTTTTTTGTTTTTGCGGCTTTACAAATTATTTGACCCGTCCTCCCCTTCCCCAACATATTTCTGAAAGCACAGGATCTGTACAATTAAGCAATGGTACTGTTGATATTGTATGACTGTTATATGAAAATGTTTATTAACCTCTTGCTGTCCACCCGTAGTAAAAAAACTGACGGACGGCACTGCTGCATTTGCGGGTTGCCGCCTCCAGGGATCCGCTGCCCCATCTTGAATCCCGGGACCGGCTGGGAGGGCGTCAGAAGGAGGAGGACGGGAGATCACCTCCTTGCTGATCCCCGTCCGGGCTGTGAATGCAGAAGTGATGTGTATTACATCACTTCCGCATTCACCTGTCAGTCATCTGGCTGCTATAGCCAGAGAGAAGAAGCTGATGAAGCAGATCTCTGCTTCATCAGCTTCTTTTGGGGTCCACAGGTGACATTAGGGGTCCTAGGGACCCCTAATGTCTCCATAAAGAGGACCTGTCAGTGTGCCTTTGCTATTATATAGGGGAATTGTTATCCCCCATATAATAGCAATAACAATAAGTGCAAAAAAATAAATCTAAATTAAAAAAACCACAAATACACAAAACAGAACTTCCAAAAATAAAAGTAACACGTTCATTAAAAATTGTGCCTTTTTGTGAAGATCAAGGTTACCCAAAGCTGTAAATAAGTGACTAGTGCTTAAAACCTTGAGGTGATCTTTGTAGTGGGGTATGTGGTGGTACCATTCATTGAGTTGCACCCCAACACACCTTGCCACATATACTTCAGCATATGTTCTTTTTAATGCACCACAAAACACAGATGGGAGCCATCTGTGCATAGTGGTGTGCTGCATAGAAGAAGAAAAAAAGGTTCAGGTCTGATTTTGTGTGCATTGTGGTGCAATGGTGACCCAATTCAAGGGAATGGACTGTTTTACGCAGAAGATATAACGCACATGATAACATATTAGAGGTTGTTGTCACTTTGCTCATACAGAGCAAGGTCTCTGTAAAAAGCCTTCCTCTAATCCACTGATGCACACAATTACAGCATCCCTGTTGCTCTTTTCTCTGTCACAGCCACCATAGAAATACCCAGTGTGAGCTGGCATCTGTGCCTACTGGGAGTGGCATGCTACCCTTCCATGTG